AAATCCATCATTACCCTAATCATCTGCAAGACAATTGGTAGCCGTACTAGGTTTCCACCTTCTTCCTCTTTTTTTTTTTTTTTCATTTTTTCTCTTGGGTTCTCTAACAAAACCCAGATGGAGAACCCAATCTGGGTTCTCCAGATAGAGAGAGAAAAAAAAAAAAAGGAGGATGAAGATAATGAATTTGTTAGAAGAGGAAGATGAAAAGACAACAAGAAAAAGGGGTATTGTAAGGAAGATAACTTTTAAAATTAAATTTGTAATTTTATTCTTATAATTATTTGGTTTTGTAAAGTGTGTATCCTCGGGTGTTGAACCAGGGGTACACTAAGCATTTTTCTTTTTAAAAATAAGAATAGAAAAAAGAAATCTATATATAGGATATGTCTTCCTATCTCTGCAAACTATTGCATACTTGTCTTTGGATATATATATGATCCGACGTTGTGAAGGGTTACGAGAACCACTTAGGTTTAAATAAAAACCCCTAAAATTTAAAGTGAATGCTAGTATCTGATCTCATAAGACTATTAAAGTTTGTTAGTTAGGGATAATGGTTTGAAATATTTATTTTTATTTTCACAATTTTATTTTTGAATCTCGAAAATAAGAGTCCAAAAGACATGTTTTTGATATGAGCTATTTTAAAAGATATGTGTTCTTTGATTTTTGCATAGCATAAAATCAATTTTTGAATCCTTATGCAAGGACAGTAACATACATTCACATCTTAGAGGGTGTTAAATTGGCAAAACTAAAAATTATTTGTTTAAACAAATTTTTCTCTTATAAATTTGAATTTGTTGGGGAAATTTTTTTTTTCCCAACAAATTCAAATTAAAGCTTGCTTATAAACCTCTTTAAAAGTTATTTTTTGAATATCTATCTAACAAAATTTTAAATTGATGACAAAAAATTTGTTTTTAAAATAAATACTTTATAAATTTTACAGAACACTCTTTCATAATAATTTAGTATATTTTTTTCTTGTTTCTTACCAAACACTCGCTCATAATAATTTAATATTTTTTTCCTGTTCCATTTTCGGCTCTATTTTCCTAACTCTCCCCACATTTTTTTTTCTTATGAGAAGTTAAATGCATTCATTCAATTAAAATGGGTTACAAAGTCAACACGATCTGTAGAATATATCGGTCCTATACATACATAACATGCCGTGTTTAATTTATAACCCACCCAATCAGGTGTAAAAGAAGAAAAATGTAATCATGCCACAAGATGAACTTATATAACTACCTTATATTCTAAACTATGACATAATACAAGAGGAAGACTCGTATACGATGATGAGATCTTGAACATGAGACCTAATATTTTCAAAACCTTTGTCCTACAACTGTGCAATTGTTATTAATTTGAACTTAAAGTTTGAACTCCATTTGATATATGATTGTGTTTACAACTGGCTTATAAACTATAAACATACTTTATATCCTCAACATTAACTATTAACAGTCCCCTATACAACCATTCCCCAAATATCAAAATTAATTAATTAATACCCACAGGCCACCTACCAAAGCTTCTTCAATCTACAACATGTTGCTGACACTCCTTAGAAAACCAGCTCATATATTCCTCTAAACCATAACCCTGAATCATAAATTCAAATAGCAAGCCATCATACAGGAAATTAATTATCCAGAGAGCTTGCCCGGGTGAGGAGTACCATACCTCCAAAATAATTAGTCTGCCTTTCTCTTTGCCTTAGCCATTGATATATTCTATTTACTAGCTCCACTATATCTCTTGTTCCTTTCATAACGACCAGATGATCACTGCAAACCAAATAATGCACATGTTTTTCCTTTTGAGATGATCAGTTGCTATCATGATTCTCCACCATTTGTAAGTCGTAACATTTTGCCAATACGGCCATACTTTCCACGAAAACTGACAAGCAAAAAAAGTAAATTATCCGTTTCCTCTTCTTGTTGTCCGCATATAGCGTGCAAGAACTACTGTTCCAACTCTTTCACCACTTATTCTTTCCTTCTTTTTTTTTTTTTTTTTTTTTTATTTTTTAAACAAAATCTTAGGGTTCAAATGTCTCATAGTGTAAATCTCGTGGTTATGTGTACATTTTGAAATATGAAGTTTGCCTGTGCATATTATGTGCACTTGCTCAAAACCACGGGTAGGTTGTGTAAATTTCAAAAGCTTAGGAGTTATGACTTATGAGCACTCACTCAAAGTTTTGAGTGAGTAGGTTATGGGCAATTTACCCCTCTTTTTTGGGACCAATTGCAGCTGTGGGTCTAATCCATCCTTAGAACTCAAGGATACAAAGGCACGGCCCTATATAGAACAGATCCTTTTCAAGTAAGGTCGTGACTAATCCGTCCAACCTGCATAGAAAAGCAAACACAGATGGCACCTTCTTTATTGATCTGTGAAGGAAATCAATTGGTTTATTCCAAACAAAACTTATGGGAAAAATCTAGTATTTGATCCCAACTTCTTTTGTTTTTCTTCGTAGGACCAGCGAATTAAAAGTTCTTATCTAACGTAATGAAAGGTCCTCAGATAAAGAGCGTCGTGTCAAAGAGAAATAAAATCAAAAGTGGGGCTGCATGGTTGATTTATGCCTGTTCATCAAGTGAATGTAGAGATTCATTTTGCTAGTAGTTATCAGTATTATTTTGTTTATTGAAGATAGGTCTAGGATTAAAGTTTTGATTTTGAAGTCAACATCAAAGAAATTTTGATTTTCTTAAAATGTGTTAAATTAGTCTATGTAAGAATCATTTAAGAAAAAATTAATCTTGATGTGTAATTTATAAGCTGGCTTGAGAATATCTTACCTTTGAAAAAGAGTTTTTTTTTTTTTCTTTTTTTCCTTGGTTGCACAATAAGAAGTAATCATTTTCCATCCCATGTGATTTGAACTCATATTTCTTTATTTTCGACGAAAACAGATAAATACTGAATTATTTAAGTTGTTAGCACCTTTGAAAAAGAGTTTTGATTGGTATTTTACATTATTCATGTATAACACCGTTGTATGGTTGCAGGCTTTTGTTCTGCGTTAGCATCACATGGCTTTTAGGGAATAACTTACATAAGCAATGTACATTTTTATATATTTGTGCTGGATTGCAGCGTTTTTTGTCTTTTGCTTCTTCTT